CTGAAACTCCCACACAAATTCGTCATCTAAAGAAAATGGGGTGGGGAGAGAAAACACAGAAGATGTCTGATTTAAGTCAAAATAGAGTAATGGCAGCCAAACCTGTCACTCCCTCCAATATGACTCCATACCCAGGAAATACTGTGGTTTTCAAGAACCCGGATATTAGACAATGAAAGATGCTGGTCCATGAGGGATCATATCCAAGGGCCTTGGGAGGGTCTCTAGACTACAGTGCCATGTGTGAAGGCCTAGAGACCACACACCGGCCTAGAGCCCACCCAGACAAAGGCCCAGGGACTCCCTGAGGCAGAGCTGAGAATGTAGGAAAACCAAGGTCACTAGCGTGGCCAGGCACTGCACTAGGGAGAAGAGGCATGCATGACCAGAGGACTTCCTCTCCCACCCAGAACTCTGCAGTGGGGCCTCCTCCAGCCGTGTGGTGAGGAAGAGACAGAACAAAGCTCACAAATATTGGGAAGCGAAAACAAAAATACCCAGCAGCTAAGGTAAAATCCACAATGTCTGGCATCCAATTGAAATATCAGGCATGCAAACACAGGGGGAAACATGGCCCCAAATCTAGAGGACAACAGATCAAAACAGATGGAGAGTTTACACACACATAATAGAAAAGGACATTAAAACAGCCATGACAATTGTGTCTTACATGTTCAAAGGCTAAAAAGAGACATACATATCATTAAAAAAAAAAAGATCCAATTCAAACATTAAGATGAAAATTCCATCTGAAATAGGAATTGCACTGGATAAGCAGCTAATTAGACACTGCCAAAGAGAAGACTAATGAAAGTGAAGACATGGCAGTGGGAGCTACCCAAGATGAAACACAGAGAGGAAAGGATTTTTCTAAACACAAAAAGCATCGGTGAACCATGGGAAACTTTAAGTCATCTGACATTCAACTAGAGTCTTTGAGAAGAAGGAAAACCAGAAAAATATCTGAAGTGAAAACTTTTCAAACTTGAAAACTAGATGCAAACATTTAACAAGTTAACAGACACCCCTGCAAGCAATCAAAAAAAAAAAAAAAAAACCAGAAAAAAAATTGAGAAAATCATACCCAGGTACATCACAGTAAAATTGCTCAAAAACAATAATTAAATCTTAAAAGCAGCCAGGAAAAAAAAAAACAATAAAGTCACTTTATGTACAGAGAAAATGTCAGTAAATTTCCCATCAGAAACAATACAATGGGAAGACAGGAAACATTTTTAAGACTTATTTTTATTTCAGAGGTAGAGTTACAGAGAGAAGGAAAGACAAAGAGATCTTCTAACCACTGGTTCACTCCCCCACAAATGGCCACAATGGCTGGAGTTTGGCTAATCCAAAACCAGGAGGCAGGCGCTTCCTCTGGATCTCTCATATTGGTACAGAGTCCCAAGGACCTAAGCCATTCTTCACTGCTTTCCCAGGCCATAAGCAGAGAGCTGGATCAGAGTGGAGCAACCAAGACACAAACCAGTGCACATATGGAATGCTGGCGCCACTGGCGGAGGCCTAGCTTACTGTGCCACGGCACCCAAAATGACAGCTAACATTTTTAAAGCATCGAGACAAACTATCGGAGATGGCTTTGTGGCACAACAGGTTAAGCCCCTACTTGCAATGTTGACATCCCTTATCAGACTGCCAGTTCAAACACCAGCTGCACTGCTTTTAACTTGCTGTTGCTGTACCTGGAAAAGGAATAGAAGAAGGCCCAAGGACTCAGATTCCTGCTGCCCACAAAGGAGACTCAGATGGAGTTCTGGGCTCCTGGCTTCAGCCTGGATCAGTTCAGGCCATTTGGAGAGTGAACAAGCAGCAGGAAGATTACATCTCTCTCACTATCTCTCCCTTCCTCCCTCCCTATCACTCTGCCTCTTTCAAACAAGTAAATCATAAGAAAAACAGAAAGAAAACAATTATGCATTTAGGCCACGGCAATTCCAACAGTAATTAAAGTGCTACTCGGGACACCTGCATCCCGTATTGGCGTTCTTGGGAGTTGAGTCTCAGTTCCACTCCCAATTCAACCTTCCGGCTAATGCACACCACTGGAGGCAGCAGATGATGGTTCAAGTGGTTGGCTCTCTGCCATCTGCATGGTGAGCCTGCATGGAGACCCTGGCTCCTGGACTCAGCACTAGCCCATGCAGGACTCTGGGCAACAAATCAGCAAATGGGAAGTATATGTCTTTTTCTCCCCCTACCCTACCTTCCAAATTTTTTAATTTGGAAATTTTTTAAATTTTTAAAATATGAAATTTTTTAAAATATGAAATTTTTAAAGAAATTTTTAAAATATGACTGCCAATCCAGAATGCTATAGCCAAAAATTATATTTTTCAAAAAAAAAAGGTTAAATACAAATGTTTTCTGGCATAAAACAACTGGAAAATTTCATTACTGGCTGATTTTCTCTGTAAGAAACATTAGAGAAAAATCCTTGAGGCACAAGGAAGATGGTGTCATACGGTAATCTAGATTCGCACAAATAAAGAGCATCAGCAATTAAAACAAAAAAGGTTTGTCATCATTCAACAAGCAAATTAACCAAACTTATAAATAATGTACTACAATGTTTATATATAACATACATGTAACAGGTTTATAGGTGTTTACATGAATAGGTTTACATGAATAGCATTTCAATACAAGTCTTTGAAGCCCTCAATGAGCCCACGTGACCAGGCTCCTGCCTTCCTCTCAACCTCCACTCCTCCCATTCTGCCTTCCATTGCACTGCTCAGCTACTGGGCCTGCCAGTCATTCTCAACATAGACCAGAGAGCTTCCTCAACTCGGAGCCTTATCTTGTCCTTTCATCCTGGAACATCTCTCCTTGGGTCCTCCTACAAGCACCTTCTGATGTTCCCAGTGACCGCCCATCTCAGCCAACCACTCTGTCCTCTTGTTCATTGCTTCTTCTCCCCAAGCAATTCATTATGATCTGTTTTTGCTACATTTTTCTCAATTGTTGATTCTTTCTCTGTCTTCTCTCTTCAAGCATCTATCTTGGCTGCCGTGGCACCCCCAATATCCGGGGCAGTCCTCAGCAGCTAAGAGGCCCTTGGTCAACACTTGCTCTGGGAAAGGGACTCTGATGCCACTGCCCAAGACACAACGACTAGAGGGTGAGGAAGTTCTGACAATGCTGGACTGGTCTGAAGGAACCAGAACTAGGAAGCACAGACAAAATAAAGGTCTTCAATTATCTGAAGGCTACCACATAATGAAGTCTTTGTTCCATGCATTAAAGTTGGTCAAAGTTTCAGAGAGACATACTTTGAGCTCACACACATAAAAAATCATGTTACTACTAAATCTCTTCAGCAATGAAACTGACTATTTCATTATTTTTCTACTCCTGAAGATTTGTAAGGGGCTCGATGATGACTTGTTAGAGATTCTGAAAAGAGGATTTGCAGACTGGAAGATGAGTAGGGGAAAGTGAGCTCCATATGAGTCCATATAAGTTCTATGAAGCTGTAATTCTCAGAATACGGGCGATATTTAAGTTGACACAAAAAGGTCACTATCTGTCATCACCTTTCTGGATGTATATACTCAACAAATGCCGAGCAACTGGTACTGAAAAAACAACTATGTTAGCCTTCTGAAATAAGCAAAAATAGAATGCGACTGCTAGTCTACCCCCCAAAGAACTGTAGTCTAGGAAAGCAAATAAGGCAACTACAATTCAAGGTAAAACAAGTGTCAGAAGCAAGGTACAATGTACTTGGCTCAAGGTTTCCCTGGCATAACTACTCTGTTATACCCGAAAATAAATCCAGACAATTGTTAGGAAAGCTGCAAATAACTCCTAAAATCAAGGTACGGGTCTTCCACAGAACTTCAGATGATGGCTCCAGGTAAGATACTACAGAATCTCGAACCGAAACGCAGGGCCCTGACCCATGATGACTTACCAGGACGGATGTGACTAAGAAGACAAATTCCCTAGGCAATAATTCTGCATCTACTAATGTTTTAAAAGTCTGTTAGCTCTACCTCCAGAGATGATTTGAAACAATGACCCAATATCTTACTTGGAAAACTCTAATTAAATTGGAAATGTCTCAATTCTATCAGATTTGTCTCTCTCAAATTTATTTCATTCTATTTGCTTATCAACTATCAAAATACCATCCTGGGGAAATGAGTTGATACAAATAAGAGAGAGAGTGTTTCTGAACTGAAGCTTTAAGGAGGAGATTTAAACTGTCCAGTTTAAATTTGAACTGCTTTCCTCCCACGTCTCAAGGGGGCAGGCTTCCTCCCCTCACCGCCTCAGTCCATCACGTTCTGGCAGGTTAGTACACTCAGCCAAAATAAACATGTCGACAGCAGAAGAATGTGAGACGCCGAAGCAGCACTGCGTTCCAAAAATAAAGTCTTCTCAACCCATCATCATGCTTAAAATGAACATTTTTTTACATAATAAAAATGCTGACAGCAAAAACAAGGCATATTAGCTTAAGAAGCAGAAAAGGCATTAGGCAATTGTAGTTTTGAAAAAGTTTGGCAATTTCATTTTAAAAAAAGTCACAACCAATAGTTTTAGGGAAAAAAAAATTATGAAAGTATAAAGAGCCTAAGACAGAATCCACCAGTTCAGGGACAAGCATGGTGACACAGCTTGTTAAGCTGGCACTTGCATCACCAAGCATCCCACATCAGAATGCCAGCTGCTCTGTTCTGGATCCAGTTCCCTGATAACATGCCTGGGAAGGCAGCCGAAGACGACCCAAGTAACGGGGACCCTGCCACCCATGTAAGGAGACCAGGACAGAGTTCCTGAGTTCATCCTGACCCAACCTGGCTGGTAGGTATGAACCAGCAGATGGAAAATCTTTGTCTTTCTTGTTTCTCCCTCTCCACCCCCGACTCTGCCTTTACAAAAACAAATGTATATTTAAACACAAACATACACACATGCTCACAAAACAAAGCCAGCAGCCGTGAGAGCGTAAGCACAGCTACTTGACATACCGCAGTCGGAAGGCATTGGTGCTGCCGAGATGGAGAAGATAACTGGTGCTTCAGCGCCTGGAAACAGGAACGGGTATCTTCCAATCAAAGGGTTTCCTTCTAGTGGGAAATCTGGAAGGTCCTCTATGGTCATCTTCTAGAAAGCCACCTGGTTGAGGAAGGGCAAAGAGGGGTTTCCACTCAGCCAGTGAGACACTTAGAAGGACTTCTTCACCTTCAGTCACAAAGGCAACCAACCTACTGACCGTTTTGACTTCAGTCTTCAACAATCTCTCTTAGGGAATAAGAAAGGCCCTTTTAGTACATGATGGCTAGGAATTGCACAGCGCTTCACACACTCTGCCACAGCAAGTGGAGCCTGGGGTCCTCCCAAAATGTTTGGGGATAACAAACCATAACAGGCACACACATTTCTCTCCCAACAATAGGTGAGGACATCTTCACACGCTGAGCACATCTAATGGGGCGACATCCTCTTACTCAGGATAACACAAAAGGGCAGGTGCATGAACTCCTTGCAGTCTGAACCCAAGCATCTCATCATACTGATGAACTCCCGGTTCTCATGCGGCAGCTCAAGCCATGTACTCATCACAGGAAAACAATCTAGCTTCAGAACATTTCCATTATCTTCTGACACCCCAGAAAACTGGACTGCAAATTAATCGTGTCATTCTGCTCAATCTAAAAGTGTCCTGGGACTCCACTTAACATTCTAACTCTGTTGATTCCTTCCTGGCCTTTCAAAGCATATCATTTCCACTTACCTCTCTTTTCCAGAAAGTATGAGCATCCAGCACAAACCTGCTCTAAATTACACTTTTGCAACCTACAAACAATGTGGACAGCAGAGAAAACTAGGTAAAATGCCCAATTATAATGCTAAAAACCTTCCAGTTTCTTTTATACCAGATCTTTAAAGCCCAAAGTACTGTGAAGCTTTGTCTTTAAATATAAGCAGAACATCTTATGTAATTAAATACAATTTATCTCAGATTTCTCAGAGAAAGAACAAGTGAAAAAAAAAAAAAACTGGCAGCTGACACACAAGGTCATGCATATTACTCCATGCATGCTCTGCTTTCTTAACTTACCTTAAGCTACCTTAACTATCTTTACCATGGCCACTCCACTGCAAGCTGAGTCCCCTCTCCATGCCAACTGGATTCTTCCAAACTGAATCCACATATTTTTGTCAACTCTCGCAGCAACTGTTCAAAGACTCATATGCTTGTTTCTCAGTGTGCATTTATTTAATCGGCATGGACAGTTCATAGTCCGGATAACCTAATCCCAACTGTTAGTATTCTGAAGACAACATTTTCTCAGACACTAAAATTACCTGCCACTCAAAACTCTGAATTCTTCGGACATTAACCCTGTCACATAATGCAGACCTGACCAGGTCAAAGAACTGGTTCTTCTTCAACCACTCACGCAGTCAGGCAACATCACAAAGCCAGTCCTCCTGAGTTACAAGAGCTACCCCTCACTCAGGATCCCTGCCTCTCGGCCCTCACTCACTCAGGATCCCTGCCTCTCGGCCCTCCCTCACTCAGGATCCCTGCCTCTCGGCCCTCCCTCACTCAGGACTCCTGCCTCTTGGCCCTCCCTCACTCAGGACTCCTGCCTCTAGGCCCTCCCTCACTCAGGATCCCTGCCTCTAGGCCCTCCCTCACTCAGGACTCCTGCCTCTCGGCCCTCACTCACTCAGGACTCCTGCCTCTCGGCCCTCCCTCACTCAGGACTCCTGCCTCTAGGCCCTCCCTCACTCAGGATCCCTGCCTCTCGGCCCTCACTCACTCAGGATCCCTGCCTCTCGGCCCTCCCTCACTCAGGACTCGTGCCTCTAGGCCCTCCCTCACTCAGGATCCCTGCCTCTAGGCCCTCCCTCACTCAGGACTCGTGCCTCTTGGCCCTCCCTCACTCAGGACTCCTGCCTCTTGGCCCTCCCTCACTCAGGACTCCTGCCTCTTGGCCCTCACTCACTCAGGACTCCTGCCTCTCGGCCCTCACTCACTCAGCACTAAATCTGGGCAGATGTTCTCCTGGAAGAATGAAGTCACCTTCAGAAGTAAAGACAGACATAAAATTTAAGGAGTGAATGGTTGATACACAAAATCACCACTGGGGGCACCTGTATTCCATATTTCCAGTGCACAACTCCAGTCCCAGACCCTCTGTGCCTCCAATCTTGTTTCCTGCCAATGTGCACCCTGGGAGGCAGGTCAAACACTTAGCAGATGGTATTCTGGGCTCCTGGCTTTGACCTGACACAGCACTGGTCTGGCTATTGTAGCCATTTGGAGTAAATCGATAGAAAATACATCTGTCTCTCTCTCTCTGCCTCTCAACATAAAATAAAAATTTAAAAAGAAACATTGAGTATCTGTTAAGGAGCCACCCCACACAAGGCACTATTCTAGATGTAGCTGAGGACACAAAACTGAAGAATAAAGAATAAAGACGACTCAGGATTTTCAGGTAGTTGCAGGTTACAGGCCAGAATGGGATGTGTTCCATCTCAGAAATAAAAGGAGCAGCTGCTGCAAGCTTCCACAAACTGTGCAGAACAAAGTGATGCCTGAAACAAGTTCCAAAAGACAGACAGGCACACAGATCTCAAGGGGAGCCTGTAAAAGGGGCAGGGCTGGACCGGCCACAAGCTGGGAAATAATCACCGCTACCATGGATTTTTAGGGCTATACTGAAAAGTACTGAGACACCTGACCAAGTATCAAACCACTTGGCTCTATAGGCACTGGGAAATGGTGCTAGGAAAGCTATGTTTGGAGAAGATTAATCCAGCATAAATAGATCTTCTTTTTATACTCTCCATCCTTCAACAGAGTCATTAGAGGTCCATTAACAGGAGCCAGTAAATGTCAGTGCTTCCAAAGGGTGAAGCTTCCCATCCCCAAGGTTTCTGGAATGTGATTCCCCAAGCACCTTCCACGTCCTTGTAGAGTGTTGGCATCCTGCAGGGTAAGAGCTGTAACTTACACAACTACAAAGTACCAAAACAGACTCCAGGTGGTGAGAGCAGCTGTGCAGTGAGACTCAACCCACTTCATGGCTTCCCATGTTGGACACCTCATGTCCTGAGAAGCTGCACTATTATCTGAACAGAGGGACAGTTCTTGGTATCTTATGTCTTCACTGCATTTTTCCCTGTCTCATTTCCTTTCATTCATGAAAACTCAAACATTCACCTTTGTCCTCCACCAAAGCATGCTATACCTCTCTATAAAAGCTGCCAGAGTCTCAGAATCCTCCCCTAACAGTGATTTGGGGTCTGAAGGGTCATGACACCTCGAATCTTGGTCAAATGTAGAGATACAGATTGAATATTACTTCCTTCCCAATCCCGTGATGAATAGATTAAGCCTATAGGGTCTGGCATTGGTAGCAGGTTAAGCCTGAGATGCCAGCATCCCATTTGAGTACCAGTTTATGTCCTGCCTGCTCCATTTCTGATCCAGTTCCTGCTCATGCACCTGGGAAAAGCAGCAGAAGATGACAAAAAGACTTGGTCCTCTGCCCCCCATGTGGAAGACTCAAGATGACACCCCTTGTTCCTTACTTCAGCTTAGATCAGCCCTGGCCAATTCAGTAAATTGGGAAGTGAACAAAAGATGGAAAAAATCTCTCTCCACCTCTTTCTCTCTTACCATTCTGTCTCTCCTTCTCTGTCTCTCAAATAAATAGCTAAATCTTTTTTTAAGTAAGCCTGAGAGAGAAAAATCAATCCCAATTAACTATTATGAAATGATGTCATGATGATTACAGTACAATCAATTTCTACCCTACTCCAGCACTCCAAGTCAACTTTGAGCAACCACATCTTGTGACATGGCTCTCACATCTTGTGATTTTCCAAAGACCCCTGGTCCATGAGTTAACACAAAACAGTACCAAGTACTGTTGTGGAGATATCTACCAACCTTTTCACAGTAGCTCAGCATCTTACAAAAGGGCCTCCCTGGTGACAATCAGTTCATTGAAGCCTGCAGAGGACATCTAGTACCATGGAAGGCAGAACAAGTCAGACAACTCTCCCGGTCAGGCTTTGACAACAAGTAACTGGGAGAATGGAGACTCTAAGGTGGACTATGTCAGCCAATGGACCTTGGAAGGATTTCCCCAACCTTGGAACAATGAAATCAACAGCAACTCAAAACTATCAAAACCACTTAAGAACCTCAGAACATGCTCCACATCAGGGACACTGGGATGACTTTGGGTGGCCGTCTCCCACCCCCTCCCCGGCTGCTAATACAGTTGTGCTGCTGAGCGGGGCCCCCTCTCCTTCTCTCCCCACTTCCCCCAGGTACAGGAAGAAATAGAAGATTGAAAGCAGTTGCCTCATCTACTTTCCCCCATTCCTTGATCTTCCCCACCCTAATCAGTGGTGTCCACAGACATACATTCCTCTCAACTATGCAAACATCATCAAAAATAAAATGAATTTATTATTTTTAAAAAGGGGTCTCCCTGAGGCCAAGAGCAGCATCCCTGAGCTGCTCAGCTAACAGAAAATCCAAGCCATGTCCACCTTCATTGCAATCATGAGGTCCTTTCACTCAGTTTCCTAACACAGTGAGTCATGAGTCTTGATTGTCATGAGTCTAACATAAGTTTAGCCTTTTGCTACCAACAGAATATCCACTCAGTCACTCAACAAGTAGAAATATCTACAGATACTGTGGGACACTAAACAGCCCACAGACCTAGAGAGAATATCAAATGGATGATACTGGTCTTCAAGGATGGAGGTTCAGGCTCCTGACTCCAGCCTAGCCCAGCCCTCGTTGTTGCCAGCATTGCAGAAAGAGCCAACAGGGAAGGATCTACCTCTCCCAACTCCCACACCCTGTAACTATGCCTTTCAAATAAAAAGTGGCTTTAAAAACAGACATGTCCTTGTCCTCATGTAAATTATAGCCAGTGTTGTATTCTTACCAAAACAAAGCAGCAATTAGAGTCTAAAAGCATTTTGCTGTAACTGACAGCCAAGTACTAGGAGAGCACAGATTCAACAGTTCATGTGAGGCTGGCAGTTAGCTCAGTGGTTAAGACACCCGCATCTATATCAGACAGCACCAGGGTACACACGTGGCTCTGCTCTGAACTCCAGCTTCCTACTAA